CACACTGAGAGAAGAGAACAGAGGTTTTAATATTCTGTATACCCACCAGCTGTGAAGAGCTTCCCTGCTCCAGAAACTACCACCGCTCTGCACTCGGGGTCCTCAGAGAGCTCATTAAAGCAGGTCAGCATCTCACTGGCAGAGAAACACACGAGTTCAGATCAGCGTTCACCCAAATAATAATTTAGCTTTTAATTCCAGTGATTAGTTTGACTTTTTGAGCTCTTTTACGTCTGATAATTTAACACTTTTAGAGTTCCATGTATTAGCATTATAGTTTTTATTCACACTAAATGATGCAATATTGATTCTCAACGATTCACGAAATAGTAATAGTCTGAATATTGTGTTCACTTGTTTGTAAGGAGTGACTGTATTTATTTAACTCTGTATGTGCTTCTCTCCTGATCACAGGACTGAATATGTTTGGGAGCTAGCCTACTTGCCGGTCTGTGCTGTTACACAACGAGGGTTGCAGGATGAATGAAAACAAAAACTCATACAAGTGCTTTCCCCCCCCTCACACACTATACTCCCAGCATAAGTAAGAGAAGCCAGCTGAGGTAAACACATGCTGGGTATGATGAACCTTCTCTTTATTTTCACCAATATAAATAAAGAATATGGACAATATGGACTTTCTAACTGAATACAAGCTGTGAGACAGGTTCCAGCATCCAGGTATAATATATAGCATTTGTCATGCCTCTGACACTGTGTAAAATATGTATATATGTAATTCTGGTTCCTGCCTCCAGAAAGCACTGTTCATGGCATTGCGTTTCTCAGGCCGGTGAAGTTCAACATGCGTGATGGACTCTGTAGGGCGACTGATGGCCAGGGTCGTGTACGGAGGGGTGGCACCACCTGAAGATGACATGGCTCTGGCCACAGTTTGACTAGGCAACCGCAACCCCTTATCTAAGAAGAAAAAACAGAACAACATTAGACTGTGGCCAAGAAGCAAGAGTAGTGAAAGCTACAAGGCTACAATGGACTATTCATAGGCCTTTTCTCATCTTTACCATTTTGTATCTTACTTACATTCAAGGCCTCAACTCACTTATACACCTCAGTATTGGTTCAGTCTACAGTGTTCTCAAGCCAGTGATTTTAGAGCACACACACACACACACAGAATAAACAACAAATAAACAAAACAAGGGTATGCACAACATTGTCATCAGTGCCACAATACCACAACTGACTGAAGTTGGCATGGATGTCCAGCCTTGGATGTCAATGAGATGACCACTGGTGATCTGAGTCGACATAGTGACACCCTGTGACTGTTTCAGCACAACCATGTCTGCACAGTCCAGCCGAGCATCTAGTCCCAGTACACCTCGCAGTGAAAATGTCTGGGACGCTAAGTCGATGTGTTCAACAGAAGCAGCCACAGTGACCATTTCACAGCTGCAGGCTGCACTTGTCCAGGAATGGAGATCAATCAGGGCACTTGATTAGTCCGTGTACAGACTTCAGAGGAGACCACAACTCATTATTTGTAGATATGGTAAATGGACTGGTTTTTATATAGCACTTTTCTACTCTGAGCACTGATTCGAACATTATTTTTCTATGTAAGTGCTTTCTTTGCACACATTCATACCTTGACAGATGCATCAAAGATCAGCCTGGGCTTAGTATCTTGCCCAAGAATATTTGGTATATATTCTGAGTGTGTCCACCCCTGTATGACCACAGTGTACCCATCCATGTTGCATGTTTCCAGCACCTTGCTGAATCTGTGACATGAAGAATTAAGGTAGTTCTGAAGGCAAAAGGGGTCCAACCTGCACAAGGAACCTAATAAAGTGGCTGGTCAGTGTAAATAAAGGAAAAAGTAAATATATGATAAACAAAATTAAAACAAATATCTAATGGAGTCATAAATCACCACAACTCTAATTTCATCACTAAAATAGTCATTTTGTTTAAGAAAGTGAGCAGTCCACCACTATTGATCCATGTTTTTCCACAGTTAGTCTTTTCCCCTCACTTCTAGCTCCTCAAATGCAGCTTTTGTTTGAAGAAAAAAACAAAAAAGAAAAAGCATATTTATACACAATTAACTATATGCAGCCAGATGGACTACTCTCCACCGCTCATTCTTGCTGCTTGTCAGGTTGTGTTGAGTGGAAACACACTCCTGTACTTTAATTGCAGGGTGGTGTCTGTCGGTATAAGGCCACACAGGCCCATTCATACACAGATGAAGTTACAGGAAACAGAGGAATAAGTAGCCGGGGGGAGACAATTATAAATAAAATAAGAACAGGTCATTGCTTTTTGAACGGCACACTTTTTAAGATGGTTAAACATCTAACTGTAGTTGGTGTAATGCTATGGAAATGATAGAACTTCTTAGCTGCAGGAAGTATATCAATCAAAGAAGACTCCGCGTCGGTTCACTGACAAATAAGAGGCCTCTCATCCAAGACCTCCTATCTGACCGTAAGTTTGACTTTTTCTGCTAAACTGAAACCTGACAACAACCTGATGACTTTTCTCAGCTAAATGAATCCACTCCTCCGGGGTTTGTTTACCTTTCTAAACCTCGCTGCTCAGATCGTGGGGGTGGTCCCGCGATCATTTTTCGCCAGCACTTGAAAGTCCTGCCAGTTAATCTTGATACCTTTAGTTCCCGTGAGTGCCTTTTAAGTGAGCTGACTGGACCTATTCCCACCATCATAGCTACTGTATACCACCCCCCGAAACCTAACCTCAGTGACTTTGCGAACCTATTCAATTCAATTCAATTTTAT